CCACGCATGGGAAGGGTAGAGGGTCTGCGGGGAAGGATGGAGGGACCAGCTTTTTGGTGGGGGTGGCGTTTGGTGGGTGAGCGGCTGGTTTGGTGGGGGGCGGCGTTGCCATGTGTGGGATGGCAGGGGACGGGTGCGTAGGGCTTGATGAAGAGCCTTGTGCTTGACTGAGCGTCTTGCATCTGTGCTAGGGCCAGGGATTGCAAAGACCAGGGGCTGCAATAAGCATCTCTGCTTGGTTGACAAAGAGGTGATGCTCCTCTTTGGGGGAGTCACCTTCTTTACATGTATCAAAGGCTCAACTGGTCCCAGAGACCAGGACAAGCCATCACTGACCTGGAAAAGAGGACTCCTCCACGCTAGGCTTTGCTGTCCTGCCCACCTTGACGGGGAAGCTGCTCTGAAGAGCCCATGTGGTGGTGGAGAAGCAGTGGTGGCCGTGGGGCCAGAGAACAGACCATCTTCAGACCTCTCTGCCATGGGCTTGTGCTCAGGCTCAACAGGCTTTCCCAGAAAGACTCCATGAGTTCTGCTGGAACCGCGTCCATCCATCCACCTCTTTTCTCAGCACTGGGCTCTTCGGTTTTGCAGGGTGGACCACGCAAAATGCTGGCCAGAGGCCACAAAGTATTTGGAAAGGAGCTGAGAGGTGGTAACTCGTGCAACCACCACCCTTGCGTGGGCTGTGGGTCTCTCTGGTCGTCTCCGGGGACGCTGGCCCTGGCATGACCGAGGCTGTGTTTGCGCTGGCAGCTGCAGTAACCCCGCGGGATCTGCTCGTTTGCGATAACATTTACTGAAAAAGGCAATGTAAACCCTGCAAAGGTTTCAGCTGCTTCACGAGCCCTGTTGCAACCTCATAGCATCGTGCCAGGCACGGAAGGTCCCAAGGACACATCCCGCTGCCTCCCTCCCCGCAGGGCTGGGGGGACCAGCCTCGGGCAGACCAGGTCCTCGATCTGAGCGTGCAGGAGCGGAAAGACCCTGTGAGACCCCGCTCTGCTCTGCTGCACTTGCAAGCAAGACCTTTTCCTATAAGCCAAGAGCTTTCTCGAGCCTTGGAAATGCTCCTGCTTGGGCGCAAACGTGTTTGCCTGCAGCCTTCGCGGGGGCTGTTTGCTTTCCTCCGGCGATGGCATTTGCTCTCCGGTTGCAACAGGAGGCTGTGCACGGCGTGCGGCGATCCAAGGAATATGAACAAGGGGGAAATGCATGGAGCCCGGGCCAGCGAGACCCCAGCTCCTGCGGAGCAGCAGATGTTCCCTCAGCTCTTGGCAGGGGCCTGAGCAGTGGCACCGTGTTTGCCACCGTGCTCTCCTGCCCCTTCCATTTTGGCAACATATTTATTAGACATTGCCGCTAACCTGCCTCTATCTTTTATTTTGCTTTTGTTTTTTTCCTCCAGGATATGCACAGGGAGCAACACAGGGTTCGTGCCTTTCAAAGCAGGGTTATTTTAGTCCGGTCATAATGAATTTGCTTCGCTTCTTAATCTGCGCACAGCTATTTTGTTCTGGTCTTGGTGCAAGTTTCATTTGAATTTAGGGATTTTAGCCCCTGCCAGCTCTCCTCCATCAAAACCAGTCTCCTCCACACTCTCCTTTGAACATCACTCTCATTTATCATTGTTATATAATGGTAAGTGCCTATTTTGGTTACAAGACAGTACTAAATGGGGTGTATTTAAAACTGTGCAAACTGGGTAACTCCGTAGCTGTTGGACTGCATCCATCACACAGCACAATTAATCCCTGCTTCCCTGTGGTTATATCCTCGGATAGAGCCCATCTCCTAGCTGCCTTCTTTGGACGGGTCACTCTTTCTGGTTCAGCTCCGTGCCAAATATTGCTCTTTTTGAAACTGCTGCTAATGAAATGCACAGCCTTGAGCGCAGGGCAGAGTTTTCTTTAACGGTAATTACACTGTTAGTTGTCTTAACCTTCTTGCACCCTGAGACAAAACTGCCAATGACTGGGTCAGCTGCCTGGTAATTTGGATGCCGAATCGAGCGCTGGGCTCTGCTCTCCCTGAGCCCTGTGCATCAGCTGCACAGAGGATGGACGGTGCCCCAAAGCAGAGCTAAGCACAACTAGCCCCAAACCTACAGCTTCACTTACTATTTTGTTCCCAAAAATAGTAATGGTTATGGTTATGACACCATAAACTGGGAGCAAACAGTATCCCAAGTGTTAGCCTCAAGAAATTGTTGCTTGGTGACCAGGTGAGTGTTTTCTGGCTGCCTTGCAGCTCCAGAATCCGACCCTGCTTTGGCCGCTCCTTGCGCTTTGCTCCCCACCTCTGGGTCTTGACATCTGGGCAAAAAACTGCAGGAACCTGAAGGATGGAGCAAGCTGGTGCTGGCAGGAGTGGCTGGGTGCAGTCCAGAGAGCAGGCTGAGTCATGCCGTGCTGTTCAGCCCCATCCCCACGGAGAGCCCATAACTCCTGATCTCTGCCCACTTAGAGACTCAGACACTGAGCCCGGACGTGTCTGCAGCACCAAGGCTGAGCCCTTCGCCCCAGATACCAGCCCGCGCTGGTTAACTCGCTGCTTTACTTCTTTTTAACTAAATGACTCATTAGATATTTGCCATTCTTTAATTACCTTTTAATTCCTGCTTCATACTGGCCAAAATCTCCCCGGAGTGTTGCTAAGCTGTTGACAGGGATCCTCTTCCTTTGTAAGGAAGAGCTCTCCTTATTAAGCAATTTCCTTGCTCATGGATGTATTCTTTTCAGTTACTAAGGGAACATGAATCTTAATAAAACTCAATCAAATAGTCCTTAAATAACAGCTGCGTTCATTTAACTGTCTTATCAGCGTTTTTTTGCTCCGCTGAAAATTCCCTGGAAATTAAGATCTGATTCTTCACACGCTAATGAAAAAAGCAATGTGTCTCAGACGTGACAGAAATCCTCTAGCATGAACACAGGGATGTTATTTAGCAGAAAATCTTGCATTTTTGTCCTGTCTCATCTCCACCCTCCTACATTCCTGAAGTGGGACCTGTATCCTGGTCATAAACAGTGGGAGTGATGGAGCTGGCCGGGTGCCAGCGCGGGATGCAGGGAGCCTTCAGTGACACAGTGGCTGGGCAGAGGTCAGGGAAGGCAGGAACTGCTGGACGAGTCCAATAATTACCATCCTTATTCATTAAGGAGATGATGATAAATATGTCACACGCTGGCGGATCACCACGGCAGCCACAATATTCCCGCAGGAGCGGCAGGAGGTGGCTGTCTCTGGGAGCTGGGGAGGCAATGAAGAGGCCATCTCCTCCTGCCCCTCATGTTGTCCCTGTCCCCCAGTGGTGGCCTTGGGCTCTTTCCCCACAGCACTTGGGGATAGTAACTTCAGAGGTGTCTTGCTGCTCTTGGCTTTGACGCATCGTGATTAAGGTCCTTCTTCTGTTATCTGTCCTTCTGTGTGTGCATCCCTAGCCCAAGCTGGATGTTGACCCTGGAGCTCTTGCTGCTGCACTGTCCGGTCACGGCTTTCTCCTCCATCTGCTGTGGCAGCAATGCCAGTGCCCCTGGGTAACTGCTGTGAGGTAGGTGCCCTCCTTCGCCATTGGGAATGAGCTGCTTTTAGGTTCTGTGAAAAACCCAAAGCAGTCAGTGGGTCAGGCAAAATACAGCAGCAGGGCATGTGTCCCTTAATGTGAAGGGGCCAGCTCAAGGCTCGTGCCCATCTTTGGAGGTTTTCAGAACCAGTCTGAATAAAACTCTGAGCAACCTAGTCCCCTTAAAGGGACCTCGGAGTTGAGGTTGCTTTGAGTCTGAATTATCACACAATTCCAGGTGGCAGGACCCATGCATTGTGGGCACTTGCCAAAAGGTAACGACCGAGAAGAAGTTTCAAATTATGGTTTACTTAATTAAAATAAATAAATAAGGTCTTCCTAGGTCTAAAACAGGCTCTCTATGGCCTTTCTGGTGGGCATCTGGATGCTCTCTTGGCTCTACCAGCAGGCAGGTCCCTGCAGCCTTGGTGACAGTGATCCTGTCCTCATCCTTTCCAGCTCCCATCTTCCTGAGCAGCATCCAGAGGCCGGTTTCTCCTCCCTCACCATCTCCACTTTCCTCTCCAGGAGCTCCTGGCCTGCGCAGAAGCGAACGCAGCGGCGCTGGCACCCATGGAGTGACGTGGGAGCCTGATGGCCGTGCTGTGAGCGCCCTGAGCCCGGCCCGCGCGCCCGGCGCGCCTCCCCTTCTGCCATGAATGATGCGTCAACGATGGATTATGAACTGCTGTCCCCTTCCTTGGTCGAGCACCCGGCCGGCGCCGCCGGCATGGATGCCGAGCAGAAAACCGTCTTCGCCTTCGTCATCTTCCTCCTGGTCTTCTTGGTGATGCTGATGGTGCGCTGCTTCCGCATCCTGCTGGACCCCTACAGCCGCATGCCCGCCTCCTCCTGGACTGACCACAAGGAGGGCTTGGAGCGGGGCCAGTTCGACTACGCCTTGGTGTAGGCGCAGGGATGGCACGAGCCCGGCCACGCCGCGCGCCCCCCGGCCCAGCTGGCCCCGGCTCCCCTTGTCTCTGCGATGTCACCCCAGGCCACGTGGGGCTGGCGGCCATGGCGGGTTTTCTAAGGGTTTCTCTCTTTTCTAAGCACTTTTTGATTCTCTTCCTGGTCTGCAGCACCCTTGGGGAGACATGTTGGAAGGACGAAAGGCGGCTGCCGGGGCCCTGCTCTCCTGCCCCTCGTGTTGTCCCTGTCCCTTGGGCCGCGCTGGGTCCATGATGGGGCTCCCGGGCACCAGGCCCGAGCACTGGCTTTGCTGCCCCGACCCAGGCGCGAGGGGGCCAATGGAGACCCCCGCCATGCGCCAGCCCCTCATGGCAACGCGGCCTCGGCCTGCTCTCTGCTTCGCGCCGTAGCCACCTCTCCCTGCGTGACCTTCGGGAGATCCCCCTCTGCCAACCCAGGCCTGGCAGGAGCCATTCCCAGCTCCAGTGGGCACCAAGCAGCCATCCTGCGTCTGGAGGTGCTGGGGCCACCATGTCCCTGGGCCACGGGTGAACTGTGCCCGTCTTGCAGGGACACTGCAGCTTGACACGGGGCTACCGAGAGGGGTTTTATGGCCAGCAGGAAGGTTTGTGCGGGAGATCCCCCTCTGCCAACCCAGGCCTGGCAGGAGCCATTCCCAGCTCCAGTGGGCACCAAGCAGCCATCCTGCGTCTGGAGGTGCTGGGGCCACCATGTCCCTGGGCCACGGGTGAACTGTGCCCGTCTTGCAGGGACACTGCAGCTTGACACGGGGCTACCGAGAGGGGTTTTATGGCCAGCAGGAAGGTTTGTGCTAAGGGATGGAGCCCCTCAGGGAGACCCTTCTTCCCCACCATGGAAATAAAGCTGCACTGTGCTAACCCCACTGCTTTCTTCCTCTGCTCTTTGGTATCCCCTCAGGCTCGTTGTCACTCCCCAGCTTCACTCCACTGGGGCCAAGAGTCTACCTGTCCCACTCCACACGAGCTGCAGCTGCCCCCAAGCATGTCCTGCCTGGTTTCTCTTCCAAAATTCCATTTTCTCCTCCAGAATCCAATTCTGGGGCTTTTTGGAATGGTTCACACTGGTGATTCCTCTGCTGCTGCCCTGGAGCTGTTGTAGGACACATGCTGAGGGCAGGAGCTGGACATGGAACCTTCCTCTCTTGAAGACGCTATCTGGGGTTGAGATTTAGGCCAGGCTGTGGGCTAGGGAGCCGTGTTCATTTTCCCTGGTCCATCAAAGTTTTCCAAGCTCAAGTAAAGAGCCAGAGCAAAGAGGGATCGCGTCCACCCTTGGAGATACTCAACACCCAAGCAGACACAGTCCTAAGCAACTTGGCCTTGGCTCAGTAGGGTGGTTGGACTAGATGTTCTGCAGAATGTTCCTTCCAGCCTCAGTGACTCTGTGATTTATCACAGAAGCAACCCAGAGAAGAGGGCTGGGATGTTGTCTAACCTATGCAGACCTCTGTCGCCTCTGAATCTGGCCTCCCTACTACACCTTCACCCACGCAGTGCCACCACTTTGCCCAGCCCAGGACGAAGACACAGAACCATTTAACCCAAAATAATTTTATTGTTGCTGTTACTTCTGATACAAAAAGGAATCCTGCAAAGAGCTCTTGCTCACGCTCTCTCTGCGGGGACAAACGGGGGCACAGGTTTCAGGTGTCAATGTTTCCCAAAAACAACCAGCAAAAAAAAAAGTCAATAACAAAAAAAAAAAAAAAAAGAACGCACCAGAGAGGAATGAAGGAAACCTTGAGCTTTTGACAATTTTGGCTCAACACACACACACAAACCCACCTCTGCTAGTTTATTATTAATAATATTTTTTTAAAAAAAAGCACCTGTTGGAAAACAAAACAAAAATAATAAAAAAAATACCCAAACATCAGGCCACCCATCCTGTCACGAGCTCTGGGACTCTTGCAAAATCCAGAGTCTGGAGCTGCATTATACAAAAGAGTTTTCAAGTTTGATATTAGCGCAAATACAGTATACATACACTCCCCTCCACCCTATGTGGTGGCAGTGTACCAGGAAAAAACAACTCTCCCCCTAAGTACCAAAACAGCTACAGGAATATGCACTCCTCACAACCATGAGCAATCATAACTTTGGTGGTTATACATAAATACGAACGAGTGGATGGATACAGTGCACTAACGTTGACCATTCAATACCAGCACCAGCTTCTGAAAGCTGAAAAGCACCTTTAGGTTTGTTGATTTGTCTATCAGGTAGTCTTGTGTGTTACCAGAGTGAAGTAGCACCTTTGGTTGTCCTTTGGTGATGCACAGTGTTGATGCAGAACCAAAAATGGATTCATGCAAAGCTAGGAAATGGCCATTACAGAGATCACCTGGGTAAGGAACACCCTCTTGGGAAGAAGAAGAGCCCATCCGGACAGAAGAGACTGGACAGGCTACTGGAAGCAGCAGGGAGGCTTCAATTCACTTACTTCCTATTTTCCAGACATGTATTTTAGAGCATTTCATTTGTCTGTATTAATCAGAGACTGATTTCAGTCGTTATCTTGGCCTGATCAAGATGAATGTGACAACCGGACAGCAGGGACTTGCAGCCTCAGTGCTAGAAAAGGTCCTAACGATGCCATTGGCACAGGAATCACGCAGAAGGGTAGTTCAGAATCAAAGACTCTTTGGAAAGCCTAGATAGATTGTTTGTGTCTCTGACAGGCTGCAGTGTCCCCCTCCCTCACCCCTGCAGTGTGTCATATGTGTCCTGCCAAGCCCTCCAAGTCCCTTTCAGCATGGCAAGGATCCAACTGCTCCATACCAGACTCATGACATTTTTTGCCTGCCAATTTAGTTTGTTCAAGTACATTCTGCAACAAATTGTTTGCTATCCCCAGAGCTCCTACTCACTTACATAAGGACACATTAACTCTTTCACTCCCTGGAGTCCTGGAAAAGCCTTTCCAGCTCCACCCTTGAGAGGGTGGACGTGTGCTCGGCATACTGTGGTGTGAAAGCACTGGGTGCCCTGCAGAAGCCTTGGGCCTGGGTGCTTTGCAGTGCAAGGTTAGAAATCTGACCTACCCGTTCACTCAGTGGTGACTTTTTCTTCTACAAAAGGACCAGAAGGCAAAGAGAGGACAGAACAGTCAGTGTAGCAGGGTTTCCCTAGCACCATGACATTGAAGAAGCAAAGCAAGAAGAAGAGCTGTGGACATGCACTAATACCACACCATGGCATAGCTCCTTCCAGAGCCATTCCCAGGCCCCTTCCCATCTTCTGGGATATTGGGTGGTGTGTGGCCTGGGGCTATGAAGAACAGGGAACTTCTCTGAGGGACAGCCCTTCCCAGCTGGGACTAACAGGGTCTATTTTAAGGGAAGGAGCTGGACACAGGCAGGGAGTCCCTGCTGACAGGGTTTGAATCTTTGGTAAAGCTTCCATGAGCTGTTCTGTGGCATGGCTTGGTTCTCAACCAAACCCCCACGAAGCAGAGCATCCCCACACGGCCCAGGCAAGGGCTGAGCCCCGAGGGACATTTCCCATCAGTTGTAGAGCGCGCTGGGGGAGGTGGTGGCAGGGGGGTGCAACAAGAGAAGAGGCAGTTATTTCCAGGTGTGGATGGCAAGGCTAAGGACTGTACTGTCAGTTGGGCGGGTGGGTCTCATGGCTGTTAGTACAGTTGGAGCTGGAGCTTCATCCTCAGTGCCTGGCCCAGCTCCCCTGCTAAGTAGTTGAGGTGGTTCTTGGCCTCCATTTTCTGCAGTTCCCTTTTGCGGTACAGAGGCACACTCACAATTTCCAGCAGGTAGGTGCCAGGCACTATTTTCTTGCGGCCAAGGTGCAGGTAGCTGAGCCCTTCTTTCTGGTGGATGCGGAAGTAGCCATCCTCATTCCCATGGGAGATGAGGTACCGCACACGGTTCTCCAGGGGCTCCACAGCTGGCAGGAGCTCCAGGATGTGCTTCTTGTGAGCAAGGTCAGAGAGGTTCAGCATCATGGACAGAGGAGCATCCACATCCATGCTGGCCAAGTTCACAGTGTGGTCCTAAGGAAAGAACATGGTGTGTCAGAGGTAGATATAAAGAGCAATCCATGGCCAGGTGGAGAAAGCCACCCCAAGGAAGCTCTTGGAAGTGGGGCATGAGTTCTTCAGTTTCTGCTGTCCTTTGAGCGTTGCCTGGTTCCTTCTTTGGACCTCTGAGATTGGAACAGTAGTTCATTCCCTCCTTGTCCTGCCCTGGTAGGAGTTGACTGAACTAACCCCTTCACTGCCCTCACCTTCAGAGGACTCACCAATATATTCAGGAGCTCTTTGCTCCCATGGTCCCAAGGACTTCCCAGGTCAACTTGTCCAGCCTTGGCCACTGACTTTCTTGAAGGAGCCCTGTACTCCTTCCTTGGAACTTCCTTCCAAGGGAGAACCTGTACTTAGAGTGACAGGTCCTGTCTGGAATCCAACAGTAAGGGCTGACTGTCCCCTGTGGCCCTGTGGAGGCTGCTCCCCTGGTCAGCTGCCCTTGAAGGGAAACATGTACCTTATTTTTAGTCTGCATGACTTTCCATATTTTGTGCCCGAGCTACTCTAAGTTCTTGAAAGAGACCTTCCATACCTACAGGACCTCTGGATTCAACGCCCTACACAACCATCCAAGTATCCAGCATGTGCTGGTGCACAGTGAGCTGCTCCTGGCCCACCATCCCCCAGGTGAACTGGATCCTGTCTTGTCTGACACCCCGTCCAGGATGCCATGGTTTTCTTACCTGGTGTTCCTCAGTCCCGTTGACACTGCGTCTCTGCCGACCCCGTTTGGGGTAGCCATTTATCTTACACTCATAGCAGGTGTCAGGCGAGAGCAGGTTGTCCTCATCCTCCTCTTGAGGGGCAGGAATGTAGGAACCTTTCCCAAAACCCAGGCCAGAAATACAGTGCCTGGTGACAAGAAGAGCAGAGAGACTTAGTTCAGATTCAGGAGGGGAATCTTTGCGTTGTCCTCACAGGATCCCCATGTGACACCAGGAAACATATGGACATATGGAAACACCAGGAAACATATGGAGAATCATGCTCACATACAGGGTACAGCTTGTGCAGAATGGCTGGTGACCAGCCTGGAGGAGATCGGGTCACATCTTGTATAATAGGTAGGTTTAATCCATTTGAACCCTGGAATTTAGATTAATCCTACATCTACTACAATGTTGGCCACTCCATTAACCACTTATTAGTGAAATACAAAGGAGATGGGTTACATGGGGCTGCTTCTCTCACCCTTGTCCTGCTCGGAAGTAGCCTCCAGGACAGCCACACAAATAGCCTCCATCCGTGTTGGAGCAGCCGTAACTGCAGGGGCTGCCGCCCGCTGAGCATTCGTCCACGTCCTGGCACCCACCAAAGGCTTGGTCAAAGTCGAAGCCAGATGGACAGACACACTTGAAGCTTCCCAGAGTGTTGTAGCATGAAGCGGAGCCGCACGCGGTGGGACTGGAACACTCATTTTCATCTGTACCCAAAAGAGCAGAATTGGTCAGAAAGGATGCAGGAAGGGAGCTCCTTGTGTCCTATGATGTCCTCTGTGTCCTCTGATGATGAGGCCTGAAGAGGCGCTCGGTGCCTCACCTGCCCTCTGCCACCCATACGTAGGACACCAGTTCTCCCGGTGTCCCCAGCCACACTCACACACGCACTGGTTCCACTGGTAGTGCTGCACGTAGCCCTGGGGACAGCCGCAGCGGTAGCCCCCGAGCACGTTCTGGCAGCCGTGCTGGCAGCGGTGGTTTCCATCGCATTCGTCCACATCTGCAGTAACGACACAGACAACAGGGAGGCACCTTCTGTGTGTCCTGCGGGCAAGGCCAGGGGCACAGAGCCCATGTGCACGTGGATCTATCATCCACCAGCCAGAGCACTCCTGTGGGGGCAGTTTTTCCACCTAAACATGGCTCTGCAGTTTGGACTTGAATCGCACCCTCAGCCCCAGGGCTCAAGGGCATCTCCAGGCTGGTCAGGGCAATCACCACTGACCTCTCCATCACAATAAGGCTTCTCATTTGTGTTTATGGAGTCCCAAAATGAGGAACAGTCCCTTCTTGGCTGGGCTGAGCTGCCACAGAGACTGGGAGGGAAAGTCTCCACATGGAGCACGTTTCTGCCAAAGCCCCAGAAGCAAAGACTCACCTTCACAATTGACACCAGAGCTGTCCAGGGAGAATCCCTTCTGGCATTCACAGTTGTAGCTGCCTGGCGTGTTCAGACACTGGCCTTTGGCTCCACACAGCGAGGGCTGGGCCGTGCACTCGTTATTGTCTGCAAAAGACCCCCAGCTGTAAGCCCAGCCCCAAGGATGTGGCTGCAGCTTTGCAGCCTGGTGCTGGGCACAGCTTGAAGAGCAGACACATGGGGCAGATGCACAGCTCCAGGCAGAGCTTGCTGGACTCCAGAGCCACTGCTGGGTTTGAGATTAATCCATGGGCACCTCACGGCATCCAGCACTACTCACCGATGCAGGACGAGTGGTGCTGAGTGAAACCTGGCGGGCATTTGCAGTTGAAACCTCCAATAATGTTCACACACAGGAACTGGCAGTTGTGTTGCTTGGTGGAACATTCATCCAAGTCTAAAGCAACAAGAATAAGAACACATGCCTGAGCTTACTCTACCGGCTTTGTGCTCTCAGTCTGTGGCACCCGCGTGTATGTGGTGCACTGGGACCCTGGGGAGAACAGGAATTAGTCTTTCTCCTAGCTGGATACCTTTGCAGATCTTCCCATCTTCCTGCAGGATGTACCCTCGGGGGCAGGAGCACTGGTAGCTGCCCTCTGTGTTCTTGCAGATGAAGTTACATGGCTTGGGGGACTGGTTACACTCATCCAAATCTAGACTCGAGACAGAACACATCAGCATTCGCAGGCTGGGCCACCTCCTCCCATGGGACCATGCAGTCTAGCAAAGGGCTCCTGCACACGGTCACTCAGGGTTCCCCCTCTACTGCTGTGATGCCAGGGGTGCCCTTTATCTCAGCACCTGATTTCCCCAAATGACACCCCAACCAACAGCAGGACCAACAGTACAGACAGAGGAGGCTGGCCAGCCCCAGGTGTGGGTCACGACACCTTCTCGCTGCGTGCAGAAGGACGGATGCAGGTGGGTTGTTATCGAGCCCAGGGCTGCACAAAGAAACGGGATTTTTCCTGACTCACCAACACAGGCCGTGCCTGTGATGTCCGCGGTGTAGCCCAGCCTGCAGTGGCAGCGGAAGGAGCCGATGCTGTTGATGCACTGCCCGTTCTTGCAGAGGTTGGGCAGCACCTTGCACTCATCGATATCTGTGGGGAGGAAGGGAAGGACCTGTAAGCACCAGTGCTGCCCCTGTCCCATGCGAGCACTGCACCAGTGCAGCACAGATCCACCCGGGGTGCCAGGGACTAGATTCAGGGAATTACAGGAGACCCAGAGACTTCTTGCCTGCTCCAGGCACTCTATAGGCCTGTCCCACATCTCTGCTTCCTTCCCTTCACACGGCAGGTGATTTGGGGCCCAGCTCACCTCGTCCGTCAGTGGAGTACCCGGGCCCATGAGGACACATCTTCTTGTACTGCGTGGTGCCAGGGAGCGGGCAGAGCTCACACTGGGGGCCCCAGCTGCGCCCGCTGTTGCAGCAACACTCGGACTTGGTGACCAGGTTGCGGTTGGTGGAGGACATCTGGCACATGGTCTGCAGCACTTCTGTGAAACAGAATCCCTGGCGGGTGTCTGGAGAGAGAGACAGAGGGAGGGGAGAAATTCAGGATCTGGGACAGCACTTCCAAATCTTCCCTTGGGCAAACGGCTCTCAGAAAGGCAGGACCACCCTGGCAAGCATCGCCTGCTGCTGAAGGGAGCCTGCTTGAGACCTACCAGGAGCTGGTATTTACCAATGCACTCTGTGCCAGAGGGGCTGACTTCAAACCCTTCATTGCAGTCGCAGCGGTAGCTTCCCACTGTGTTGACGCAGCGGCCATTCGGGCAGATGCCAGGCTTGGTACGACACTCGTTCTCATCTAGGAAGGAAGGAGCCACAGGGCTGTAGTGAGGCATGGGATGAATTTCACTTTTCCAGAAGCCCCCATGATGCCACTGTGTCTGAATCACCCTCACACTGTCCTAGAAAAAATGCCCACAATACTCAAAATGGGTGGGTAAAACCTCTAGACAGGGTAGAGGGTATGAGTGGGGCCAGCTCTGCCTTCCTTGTGTGCCTAATATCATGCAGATCTGGATGTACTAACATCTAGTGGAAGTTCTGACCATGGACAACCCCATAAAGTTGTTGTTTGACAGAAAGACATACAGAAACAGCTGCATGGGTAATGCCTAGAAGAGGATGGCTTCAGCTTCTACTGGGAACCCCTTCCAGCCTGGTCCTTTGTACCTGTGCAGCCCTCTCCATCGGGCCTGCGTTGCATCCCTGGAGGGCAGATGCACATGAAGGTGCCGATGAGATTCTTGCACAGCATCCCTCGAGACTCACAGTCGTGTAGTCCCTCTGCACACTCATCCAGATCTGCAACCAAGAACCTCATGAGACAGAGCACCCGCCAGCTCTGCAGCACTGCAGGAGCCGCTCAGACCTGCACCGATTTGCCAATATCTCCCTCATCTTGCTGGGAAGGGAGGCAGAAGGGAGGTTTTACCTTTGCACATCCTCCTGTCTTCTCGGAGGGCATATCCAGAGGGGCAGGTGCACTCGTAGGAGCCAAAGGTGTTGATGCAGCGGAAGGCACAGAGCAGGGGATTCAGCGCACACTCATTGATATCTGGGAGACAGGAGAGAGGGAGAGTTTGACTCCATGCTCTGGGCAGCCCCAGCAGGAAAATAACAGTGGTGAACTTCCCCAGGGCAGACTTTTCCCTAAACTCCATCTCAGAACAGCCTTGCGCGTTCCACCAAGGCCTCCTGACGTGGTCTTCACTTGCAGAGGGACAGACATGTGGTGCCTGAGCAACTCGAATGGGTCTTGGCCTCTTGGTGAGGCAGCTGCTGTGCCCAAGCAGGTCTCCAGCTGGACAGCCTCAGAGGAAGCTAAAGAACACGGCTCCAGCGGGATCCTCACATGCAGAGGAGCCCCAGCCAGAGCTTCTGCACTGCCATTTGGAGGCAGATCATGAGAAATAGCCTTGGTAAGTGAAAGAATCCAGAATTCCAACCGGGAGAGCGCTGTCCAAGCCAAAGGAGACAGGGGAAAGCAGGTAGGGGGTTGCTAAGTCTCTCCCACCACTCACCAAGGTGTTGTCTGGTTATCAGCACGCAATAGGGGCGAAGGGGTAGCCCTACAGCTGCGTTACCTTCACACGTCATCATGGGACCTGGCTCAAAGCCCTCATCACAGGCACACTCGAAGCCTCCCACCACGTTGGTGCAGGTCCCATTGCCACAGGGGTTGCCAATGGAGCACTCATCCGTATCTGAGGGAAGAAATACTAGGTTAGGTGGCTGGGTTAGACAGGAAAGATGCAGCCTGGTCTCTGCTTCCAACTGGGGAATTCAAGCAGGCCTAGCAAAGCCAGGAGCAAGGGAAAGGAAGGGAGGAAGAGAGGGAAGGAGAGAGGAAGATTTCAGCAAAAAAAAATCCCTTTCACACACATATACACATGGAATGATAGCCCTTGCCACAAAGGAGAGAAAATTAACTCAGCTGGAGCAAGAAGAGGCAGGCGCTGCCCGTGCAGACCCTTACCCACGCAGTTGACACCCGTGTAGTCCAGGTTGTACCCGAAGGGGCACTCGCAGCGGAAGGAGCCGTCGGTGTTAATGCAGGCCCCGTTTATGCAGACACCCAGGTTCTCTGAGCACTCGTTCACATCTAGAGAGGAAGCCAAGGCAACGAAACCTTTTGTGAGAACGTGGCCACCAAGATCCCTGTCCTTCCTGGACAGGCCTTGTCACCCCAGGGCTTCTCTATCTCAAACAGGTGGCTTCGACCCAGGCTGAGGCAGCCAGGCCAGAAGAGCCACGGAGCACCCAGGTCCACATCCCTCCTGTTCTATGACTGGGATTCAACCCTATGATCCAGACAGCCTGAGCCTGGTTGCTTCCAGGCGGATGTCTCCACCCCATTCCCGCATTTATCCCCCTCTCTAGCTCAAATCTTACCTTCTCGGGTATCACCTGGGCCTGGGATGGCCCCATGGCCATACGGGCACAACTCCTGGAAAGCCACTGGAGAAAAGGAGAGAAGTGAGGTGTGCTTGGAGGCGCTTCCATTCCCAGCAGCTGGAATGTGCTTTGGCTGGGCAGCTTGTATGGCTCCACAGCCTGTGCGGCAAGCACAAAGCCACGTCCTCCTTGGAGCTGGGACCCGGGCCACCTACCATTTCCTTCCTGCGGGCAGAGCTCACAGGGATCTCCCCAGCCTTCTCCTGGCATCTTGCTGCAGCAGCACCGGGCCTTGGTGGTGTTGAAGGCCTTGGGGACAGAGCACTTCCCGTTGTCAAAGCGAGTGAAGCAGAAGCTCTGGCGAGTATCTGTGGGAGGTGCGCGAAATGCACGAGGCCACCGTCCAGGGTGGCTATGGACACCCCCTTGGCCCACAGCGATGCCTCAGCTTGAGGAAGGCACCTCCATACTCACCAAAGCAGCGGCGGCCATTATCAGACAGCACGAAGCCCGGGGGGCAGACACACTGAAAGCTGCCAGGGGTGTTGGTGCACGTCCCAAATAGGCAGATATTGGGCTCCTCTTCACACTCGTTGATATCTAGGAGCAACATGGACATGTCGCTTGCAGAGCACCCAAAGGACACTCCTCTTTTTCCACTGTATCGAGCCAGTTGAGGTTATGATCCCTGGTGATGCTTGCAAGATGTCACCCCTCTGGGTGACAGGAGGCCTGGCCTTATGCCTTAACCCATCCCAAATGGCAATGGGATGACGAAGAGACAGCAAAACCACTCAGCCTCTACTGTGCTGGGAGCAGGCTCTCCCTTGCTCTGTGGTCACTTGCTTTCAGCACGACTTTTGGAGGTGGTAACACATCCAAATATCTCCACCAACACGTGGATGTTCTGAGAATAAACCAAGCACATGCTGAGATAGAAATGGAAGAAACGGAGAACCAGGATTACCAATGCAGTTGTCGTTCTGCACCTCGTAGCCGGGGGGGCAGATACAGCGGAAAGAGCCCTCCAGGTTCTGGCAGGTCCCTGGAGAGCAGGTCCCAGGCAGGCTCACACACTCATTGATGTCTGCAGAGGAGAGGAAACCACCAGTGAAGATATCTGATGTGCTGATCTTGCCGACTGCGGTGCCAGGGTCCACTAGGCCCTATCTAGGAACCATCCGCTGCTTTCCCCAAAAGACCCAAGGTGAAGTGGAGACATTTTCCAAGATGTCCTACTTGGTGTGTGGTGGGGACAAGGGCTCAGCCCTGCAGGAGCTGATGCTGCAGGAGGCAGCGTGATGGACACGAGTAACCTGAGTACCATGCGCTCGTCTATCCCGTGTGCCATCCATGCTTCAGGGACATGGAGAGGACAACCTTTATCCTCACCACCTCCAGGTCTCAGCATACGGAAAAGAACTCTTCCTTGCACACCGCCACCTCTGCAGAGAGCCAACATGCACCTTGACCCACTGAGAAGGTCCATCTCGCTCCTCAGACACTCACCAACACAGTTCTTCCCGTCAGGGGTTCGGTCATACCCCTCTTGGCAGAGGCACTGGAAGGAGCCGATGCTGTTTATGCACTGGCCATTTCGACACACCTGCCCCACCAGGGACGAACACTCATCAATGTCTGTGGAAAGGAGAAGATAAGCACAGCGAGAAGAGACATGCACAGCATCTGAGGGACAGCGCGCTGCCCTCACCACCCCTCAGCCTGTCTGGTGACACCTACAATCCTCCAGGTAACACCCAGCGGGTGCCACGCGCCACCCAGTGCTCCCATCCCGCAAGCCACTGTGTGACATCCAGCAAATGTCCCACAGCCGATGTTGTGTCCGGACACTGGGCAGTTTTCGGTGTGGTGAGAGCTGGATGTGACTCACCCATGCAATCATTATTGTGTGTGAGCTCAAAGCCAGGGAAGCAGAGGCAGTTGTAGGAACCAACTGTGTTCTTGCAGGTTCCATTTCCACAGGGCTGCCGGTCACATTCATCAATATCTGCAGGGAAAAGCACCACAGTCGACTCGAGAGGTTGAATGAGCCTCTGTTTGGGGGTGCAGACAAGGTCTAAGCAGCTGCACAACATCCCTTTGGCTCCAACATCCCTTTGGCATGCAGGAGCAGCCTGGGCCAAGAGGATCTCACATCCATCCTGACGGGCACCCCAGGGCTGTGGCACTCATACTGACCCATGCACATGGTCTGCTCCCCAGTGGCCTTGAACCCGTTGTGACAGATGCAGATGTAGCTGCCCTCAGTGTCCACACAGTCCCCATGGCTGCAGACATTGGGGATCTCCTGGCATTCATTGCGACCTAAAACCAAGCAAAGTGGACACGAGTGAGCAGAAAAGATGGGCCAAACAGGAAAAGTTGGACTCTGGGCTGCCCTGGATCCCTGCCTGCTGGTAAGAGCTGTGTCTGAGAGCAGCAGCACAGAGGAACAGGGTCTCAGTTTTCTGAGAGGTGGTTTCATAGAGACCAAGCAAGAGGACGTATGAGCTCCTATTTTTAAAACAGCAAATTTCCTTGCAGAAAATGGCCTGAGAATGTAGCCCTGGAGAGTTCATTTTGCTTCCATCCTTCTTCCGATAAAATAGGGCCACAATTAATGGTTTTTCTCAGGTACTGAAAGTTCCCCACTGATGGAGAAATGCTGGCTGTACAAACTCATCCCAGGGCCAGAAGAGGGGCTTCTTCCACAGCTGGTTTTGTTCATCATGGATTCAAGGCTGATTTTGAGGTTTATCATCTGCACTCTGCCTGAGCTGGTTCAGCCAGCTGGTGGGAAGAAAAGATGGTTGAGATTTGCTACTATGTAGGTGGTAGGCTCCTTCCTCCAAGGAATTCCATCACTGGAAATGGGGAAATGGATAAAATGGCCCCTCAGTTTGCATAGATAGTGTGTAAAAATATAAAGGGCCACTCTTTTTTTTGTTGCAGATTTGAATGAGGAGAGCACGCTTGTACGAGCACCTGCGCTGGCTTCGTTCTACACCCTAAACCACAAAACCAACGACAGCAACGCACGGTGGGTCCTGGCAAACCTTGCTCGCTTGGACACGTAGGCCAAGGGAGGGCACTGAGAGTGCCTGGCATCAGCCCAGCATCCTGGGCACAACATTTAAACCAACGTGCCCCTTAGATGTCTAACTACAGCTCCATTTCACAGTGAGCTTTTCCCATCTCTCAGGAGCCCAGAAGCAGAGGGAATTGCTCCATCAAGCACAGGTATCCCACAAGCACAGCCCAGCTATGCCATAGTCCCCAGGCTTGACGAAGGACCAGGAAGGAACCCACAAACGGGCCTGGCATGTCCTCCATCCTGCCCTTCCTCGAGTGCACAAGCAAAACGAGCTGAAGGGCCTGGGCAGGTTCTTCCGCCGCCTCCCGCACGTGTCTGCAATAGGTAGTGAACAGCTCCCATCTTACCCACGCAGGCTCCGCTAGGCGACAGCTTGTATCCAGTTGAGCATTCGCACCTGTAACTGCCCGGGATGTTGATGCAGTCAGCATTGCGCTGGCAGAGGTTCTCCCCGCTGCTGCATTCATCGATGTCTGCGGGCGGAGAGAAGCAAAGCTGTGACTGTACCGAGTGATGAGCAAGCACCAGGCGCCGTGTTGGCAGGGCTGGAGGGGCTCACTGGAGCAAAACAATTTTAAGCATTGTTTTGTTCCATCTGGAGTCAATTTTAATCTTTCTTTTTTTCTATTTACAACAAAGTGATGCATTTTAAGTACAACTCAAATCTTTTAAACACTCAAATCATCTGTTTTTTTTTTCTTAATAACTAAGGCAGGGGAGAAGGAAACCAGAGAGAAACGTTCATGAAAACAAGCAGTATTTCTCCATCCCTTGGTGGTGAAAATGAAGAGACTTTCGGTAAGTCCAAGAATGCCAACTCTGTGACAGCTCTCACCCTATTGCCCCCCATAAGCTGGGGAGGTGTCAGTGCCATGCTGAGACCCTCCCAGCTCGGCAGGGCTGTCCTGCCTTCCCGGTTACCTTCACAGATGAGAAGGATGTTGTTGTAGCTGAAGCCAATGGGGCACTCGCAGCGGAAGCTGCCGATCTGGTTGATGCAGACACCGTTGGTGCAGATGGCAGGGATCTCACTGCACTCATCGATATCTGCCCACAAGAAAAACCCAAAAAACAGTAACCTCTGTCAGCATCCCAGTAGGGGAGAAGGGAGGGAAGAATCCCCCATAGCCGGAGAGCTGCTCTCCGGTCAGCTCTAGCAAGAAGTCTAAGGGGAAGCAGCCCCCAAAGCGGGGCTGTACTCACCGATTGGCTTCCCGGTGTGAATGTCGATGATAAACCCAGGGGCCTGGTTCCCACAAAGGATCTGGTACTCCGCTGGAAGGGGAAGGCCAAGGTCATGCCTAGCAGGCGGGCAGGGTGGGATGCAGCAAGGGAGGAGGAGAGGGAACGCTACGCTGGACCTGACTGGGCTGACTTACGGCTGGCTGGAGTGGGGCAGGGCTCACACGGCTTGTTCCAGGCCTTGCCGATGTTGTAGGAGCAGCAGCACATCTTCTTGGTCATGTTGAAGGAGAGCTCGTTCTCACACGTGTCGTTGTAGTTGCGATAGCACACGCGCTTCCTCATGTCTGCAAAGGCAGCCCACATACCGGCTTGTGGCAGCCCTGGGATCAGGAGCTGCCAGCTCCACCACCTTCCCTGCCTGGGAGATGCCGGACTTCCCTGTTCTGGTGCCCAAGGACCATATAGGCCCTTGAGGGATGCCCAGAATAGCAGCTGTAGATATGGGTGGCCTGAAGCCCACCCACCTTGCTCCAGCGACAACTTTGGATCCATATCAGGCAGTGACAATACAAAAGCTCTGCTGGATGTGCCCACCCCATGCCAACCATCCTCCCCACGACATGGCAAACACCAGCCTCAAGGCATAGGCACCGAGGACGCGAGGAAGCTGGTGAATCCAGGAGTCCTGATTCCCAGCTCCTGCAGGGCCGATCACTTTCCCACTTCCTCCCCTTGGCCACGTTGCTCTTCACATGCTGCCCATGGTGTGACCTGGTGGCTCTACACCCCCAGGGCAAGGCCAGCCCCCCTGCCCCGTGCTCAGACAGCAGCATACCCATGCAGTTATTTCCACCGTTGACTTGCATGTATTCCGGAGGGCACACGCAGGTGTAGTTGCCCAAGGTGTTGTAGCAGGTGCCGGGGCCGCAGATTCCGATGTGGGCAGAGCACTCATCAATATCTGCCAAAAAGAGGAAACCGTGTTTCAAAACAGCGGGTCTGGCACGATGTAAGGGGGCAGATGGGCCTGGCACAGGGCACACGCTGTACTTCATAGGGACCTTGTATTGGGAAGGCTCGGAGGCACAGCACGGAAAGGATGGAAAGTCTGGAAGAGACAGGGGAAGGGGCTCTGCCAAATGCTTCCTAGGGGGCAAATAGAAGACCCTACCCAGCACCAAGACAAGCACAGCTATGAGCACGCACGCACGAGGGGCATCCAGCACACCGGCACCGCGGGGCAGCTACCTTCGCAGATGCGGGTGTCCTCGTTGAGGTAGTAGCCAAGCGGGCACTCGCACTGGAAGCTGCCGAAAGTGTTCACGCAGTTGCCCCCCTGGCAGAGGCCGGGCAGCTCCTGGCACTCGTCGATATCTGAGGAAGGAGAACGGCCGGGAAGTGCTCCCTGCCCAGGGACCTGGCCAGCCAGACCAGGGGACACCCGATATGTCAAATCCACCCCCTCCAGCCTCTGTTGGCATCCAAGTTGCTCGGCCAAGTGGCCAGAACGTGTCAGAGGAGGGCACACACTGATGGACATGGGTATCAGCCCTGCACATGGCCAACCAGCCCATGCTGGGACACATGGTGCCTGCAGCAGGTCCAGGCTCTGTTGGCACTGGAGGACATGGAGATAAGGTGTGGGAGTGCCAGCTTTCCTTACCTTCCAGGATGACAGTGATGGGGTTGGGCCGGAACCCTTCTCCTCCGGGGCACAGGGTCTTGTACTCAGCTGTGGAAAGAGCCAGGAGAATCCTGAGCCATGCTGGGCTTCCATGGAACAGGGCAAGGAGGGAGAAACCCAGCAGAAAAGCTCCATGGATGCAGTGACACTGGTTCAGATGCAGCATCCTGACTGCCATCATACTCCAAGCCAACCTAGCCCCTCTACCTCCACTTGCCCAGTGCTGAACAAGCCTATCCTTGCCCTACCCCAGTCCATCAAGTTGGCCCCAGAAGCTTTCCCGACTCACTTGTGTTGGCTGGAGGACACAGCTCACAGGGATTTCCCCATGCACGACCCAGGGAGCAGCAGCAGGATGCCCGAGTGACCCCAACGCCAATTTCTGCACTGCAGGAGATCCCTCCATCTCCTCGATCCTGGGTGTCCAAGAAGCAGTTCCCAACACGAGTGTCTGCACGAAAACAGCAGTAGATTAGCAAAGTTTCTCCAGCAGATGCTGGCTGGCACAGAAGGAACCAACAGCACTATTGTCCCCGGGCAGAGACAGAGAGATAAGGCCCCATTCCCGCCCCATATGTCCACACCATCATCTGCAGGAAACCTCTACTGTAGTAAACAACACCCAGACTGTCCTTGCAGCCACTCACCCACACAGCCCACGCCAGTGGGATTCAGCTCGAAGTCCTGCGGACAGTTGCAGAGGTAGCTGCCAGGGGTGTTGACGCACAGGCCATTGATGCAGTTCACGGGGTCTGCACACTCGTTGATGTCTGAAAAGAGAAGGTGAAGATTCAGGGCCTGTGGATGGTTGCCACAAAACACATGGTCCAGGGCTGTGCACACAGCATTGCTCTGTCCACGCACTGCCCACAACTATGTTATTCCCAAGACTCTTCAGAAGACAGTAAGCAAAATTCTCATAGAAACGAACCCTGTCTTGTCTCATTCTGCCTCACTAGCTCACAGCAGCACATCGTGGGACAGGGATCCTCATCTAAGGGTTCCTTGGAAGTCCCATACCTGTGCAGTTGCCTCCACTCCTGTCCAGCTCATAGCCGTCATCACAGGCGCAGCGGAACATCCCCGGCAGGTTCTGGCAGGTCCCAAAGACACAAATATTCTGGAAGGTGCATTCATCAATGTCTGCAAGAGAGAGACAACTGGGTATGGGCTAATGGTAGGGTAGGGGCCAGGACAGGGGGCACATGAGGAGGTGCTTGCTATGGTAACGTGTCACCCCGCACTCATGGATCAGGAATCCAGCTGCTTCCCGGAATAACCTGGGGACCCTGCACCACCAGAAGATGCCTTGTTTGCCAGTGGATTGGGGTGATGGTAAAGGAGAGATCAAAGGAGAGATCAAAGGAGGTTCTAGGAGGTTCTAGGTCCCCTGTGGCAGTGTTCAGACCTGTAGGCACTTACCCTGGCAGGCCCTGCTGTCCTCCGTGGGGTTGAAGCCCATCTCGCACTCGCAGCGGTAACCCCCAGGCGCATTGAGACACTGCCCGTTCTCACACAGGTTCACGTTATCCGCACACTCGTCCACATCTGAGGAGAATCATGGGTGAGACTAATGTGGTGCCCCTGCAAACACAAAGGCTTCCCACACCTTAGCCAGGAAAATCCCACAGGCTTTGCTGACAGCTTCTTCCTAAGAGAAGGAAGCTGCAAGGGAAGGCTGCAGTGCTTCTCCTTGCCTTGGCCCTGACCAAACATCTGCTGAGAAAAAGAGGGATCCCTTCTGAGGGCATCTCAGCAGCCTGGATGGAGGGAGAGTATCTGAGTCGGCTGTGGCAGGCTGCACTGCTCTGGGGGGATATATCTGCTCTGGTGAATCCCTGTGTTGAGCCAGGCTGGTGGTTGAGAGGGGGTGACCCTTCCCGCCACCCAGGCCACGTTCCTGCTGCTCGGGGAGCGCGCGGGCCTCACCTGAGCAGGAGAAGCCGTCCCCGTTGAAGCCCTCTCGGCAGGCGCAGCGGTAGGAGCCCGGCGTGTTCACGCAGTTGGCGTTCAGGTTGCACTTGTGCTCTTCGGTTGCACACTCGTCCAGGTCTGGGCAGGGAGACCCCCCGTCAGTGCTGGGCCGCTGCTCTTGCCTTACACACACATTTCTACCCCCTCTTACTTTCCTTCATACTAGTAAGTCACTGTCCTGACACCATATGCAGCCCACCCTACACATCCTATACATCCCTGTGTATGTCCTACATCACCATACACACACCCTCACCTACAGTCCCACTCCATCACATACCTGCATCCCCCTGCACCTCAATAAATCCTCCTGCAGGGTTCTAGGGCCCCAGAGCATTTGCAGCACAGATGCCACCCAGCTATTACAGGTGCCCCCAGGGCAATATCCAACATCCTCCTCTCTTGCGGTGACAACTCACCATTGCATTTGAGGCCATCTCCAAGCCAGCCTGTGCGGCACTTGCACTTGAAGCTCCCAGGCACGTTGATGCAGGAGGCGTGCATGTCGCAGTTGTGAGCCCCGATCTCACACTCATCAATGTCTGCAGGAAAGAAGGACATCAGACCCAGCACCAAGAGAGGAGAGGACGGCTTGGCGCCAGCCTGCTCTCTGATGGGGACAGGTTGTGGAGGCTCCTTCTCTGGAGATCTTCAAACCCGCCTGGATGCCACCCTGTGCCCCGTGCTCCGGGTGTCCCTGCTGGAGCAGGGGTTTGGACTAGATGATCTCTAGAGGTCCCTGCCAACCTCAACCATTCTGTGATCCTGTGACAGCAGTGGCTCCTGGGAGCTCCAGGGGCTTCCTGCAGATCCACATGTCCACAGAACCCCCCGCAGATGGATAACATTATGCCCAGGGCAGATGCAGTAGGTGTTTGTGAGGGCTCCCAACAGCACCCATGGCTCCAGGCCTGGGGTATTCCCACCTGTGCAGCCTGTGGTTCCCTTCTTGACAAAGTAGCCCAGCTGACAGTGACAGATGAAGGATCCCTTAGTATTTTCACACTCGCCATGCAGGCAGATGTTAGGGTTGAGATCACATTCGTTTACATCTGTGGGAGAAGAAGGACCTACCTTGAGCATCATTGCAACCTTGTCCTGCCCAAGGGGCAGCCTTTTCCATCCCTCCCTCTTTCCATCTAGTGGCAGCCTGGAGCTGCAGGATGGCAGAAGTCCAGGGTGAAGTATTGCTCTCACCAATACAGGTTTTCATGTCCAGGGATGCCATGAAGCCATCAAAGCAGAGGCAGCGATATTCCCCAGGGATGTTCGTGCACTGCCCACCATCACAGATATCTGGATTATCCTCACATTCATCAATATCTGGAAAGAGATGAACATTGTCTGGGTTAAAGAAGTTAAAGACAGAGGATGGGGTGTTGAGGGAGGAGGAATGAGGGTGGCACAGGAGGGTCTGCACTCCAAATCATGTAGCCACAAGATTCTGAAGCCTGTAAAGCTCTGGATTTGCACAGCAGTGCAAGCAGGGAGCGTCTCTCCAGAGAAATAATTTCCCTGGAAGTGTCCCAAAAATGAGACCTCCCCCACCCCAAAACCAACACTGTGGCTGAGGGCCAAGGACTCAGAGGTCCCTGGGATGAGGGCCAGGCCAGGCCGAGCGCTCACCTGCACATGATCTCTGGTCGGGCATCAGCGCGTAGCCTTCTCCACAGCTGCACTCGTAGCTGCCCTCCGAGTTGGAGCAGTGTGTGTCGCAGCCCCCGTTGCTGATGGTGCACTCGTCGATGTCTGCGGGAGAAGGCAGAGGTCAGGAGGCTGTTTGAGCTGGGATATGCACCTTGCAGCAGAGCCACTCGCACGCAGGGGACACCAGTGACAAAGAGGCAGACATGCCTTTGCAGTGGGGTCACTGAAGAGGAATCATAGCACACTTGAATCTTGGCATGACTATCTGGCCAAAGAAACCACTCACCGACACAGCCCTGCCTGTCCGGTGTGGCCTGGAAGCCGGAGTCACACGCGCACTGATAGGTCCCGATGACGTTGACACAGCGTCCATTGCGACACAGGTTGTCACTGAGGGAGCACTCGTTGATATCTGTAATGGAGAGATCATTTTGAGCAGTCAGACATGCTGATGCCACACTGGGCATCCTGGCTGTAGGGCTACGTGTGCGCACAGATCAAGTCTAGAGAATGGATGTCTAGTCCTCAGTCTAGAGATCAAGTCTAGAGTCTTCATTTACTAGTGTGCACATAGCCAGAGAAGCCAGGAGACAACCCAGTACTGGCCATGTCCTCACCATTATCCCACTGCTCCATCTTCCGTGGAAAAGAAAGGTAATACAATAGACATCATAAACACAGTGAAACTCTGGGAATGACCACAATGTTTCCTGGTCTTTAGATGGGTTTGTTACACCTGCACATGGGGCTGGAAGGAGAGCACTATGCAACCTGCATGAGATCCAAGTCTCCCTGCATCGTCACCCGAGCAGGCTCTGGTCATAACACTGCTTTCCACCATCTCACCTACGCAAGCGTTTCCTTCCGAGGTCAGCTCATGTCCAGGGGGACAGATGCATTCAAAGCTGCCGTCTGTGTTCATGCAGATCCCACCTCGGCACAGCAGCGGGTCGCGCTCACACTCATTGATATCTGCAAGAAGTGACAGGAAATGTGGCGGGTTGTTCCCATCAGCTGGATCTTCCTGATAATGGTTTTGTGCTGATGCCAAGGACCACAGCCCCATCATCAGAGATATAATCCAAAATAGAGGGACAACCCCAACTAACAAGACAGTGAATTCAGGGTTTGACTGAACCGAGGGGTCTCCCACATCTTGTTAGGGGTCTCTCCCCATGCATCCCCCAGTCCTTAGTCTGTGCAGTCTTTCTTAAGCCCCTGACTTCACAGATGCTTTGCTCTCCTTCCAGAGTTACAGCTCCACTCCAACCCTTCCTCCCTCTGCAACTGCTGCCACTCACCCCAGCTCTGCCTTTGCACTCAAAACAGCGCAGACAACTCACCCATGCAGTTCTTCATCATCATGAAGCCGCTCTCGTAGCCTTCGAAGCACTCGCACTCAAAGCTGCCCGGTGTGTTGACGCAGGTGCCGTGGCCACACAGGTCTGGTGAGATGCGGCACTCGTCGATATCTGCAGGGATGGAGCAGATCAGCTAATGGAGCCAGAGGAGCCTAGGCCTGGGGCCGTCTGTCTTGCATATCAAACTCAGTGTTAAGCCTCTCATGGGTCA